GGAGTAGCGGAGGTCGGCGTTGGCGCCGGCGTCTGCGTCGGTCGCGCGCACGCGCACGACGACGGGGTTGTCGATCCACGCCGCGTCCTCGGCGACGTCCGCCGCGTAGCGCCGCTCGGCGAACTGCGGGTAGTTGTCGTTTACGTCGAGGACGCGCACGCTGAGCGTCGCCGTCGCGCGCCGCCGCGCCGCCACGTCTCCCTGATCGCTCGCCTCGACTCGCAGCTCGTAGCTGTCAACTGTCTCGCGGTCGAGACGGCGGCGCGTCGTGACGACTCCGCTGCGCGGGTCGATGCGGAACGCCTGGTTCGCGCCCTCCGGGTTGAGGATGCTGTAGATGATTTCGGCGTTGGCGCCGGCGTCCTGGTCGGTGGCGCGCACCGTCACGATCGTCGAACCGATGGTCGCACTCTCCTGGATCTCGCGCTCGTACGTCGGCGATTCGAACTCCGGGCCGTGGTCGTTGCGGTCGTCGACGTTGATGGTGAGCATCGCGGTGGCGGAGAGCGGCGGATCGCCCGCGTCGGTCGCCGTCAGGCGGAAGTAGTGCATCGTCATGTCCTCGCGGTTCAGCCGCAGCGTCGTCGTGATCTGGCCGGACGTCGGGTCGATCGCGAACATGTTCTGGCTGCGGCCGTCGCGGACGGCGATCATCGTGTAGACGAGGGCGTCGCCATCCGCGTCGCTCGCGCTCACCGACGTGACGACGAAGCCCGGCTCCATCTCCTCGGCAACGTTGATCGTGTAGACGCTGCGAGGGAAGCTGGGAGCGCGGTTACGCCGCGCCATCCGCCGGACGCGCGTCGCCACGGAGACGGCGGCGGCCGGGTCGCACGGCGCGACGACGTCGAAGTCGAGACGCGCGCCGTCGTCGAGGCAGGAGCGGCGGGTCGCCGTGGCGACGGTCGTGCCCGTGGCGACGGCGACGTCGCGCGACGAGGGGAGCACCCGCAGGGAGCCGCACCGCAGCGCGCTCTCCGGGAGGTAATCGTGGAGGTCGATCAGCGTCTCGCCCTCCTCGACGCACTCCCGCGCACGCTCGACGCTCACCAGCTGGCGCCGGCGAGCGTCGGACACCCGGCGTGCGCCGCAGCCGTGCACGTGAACATCGAGCGGGATCGACGTGAAGTTAACGGGGGCGCCACCGGACGTCGCTTCGACGACGAGGCCGAGCGGGTTGGGGGCGCGTGCGTCGCAGCGGACGCGGCGTGCGAGCGTGACGACGCCGCGTGTAGGGTGTATCGCGACGAGGGAACGCCCCGCGGCGTCCGGGCGCCGCGCCGGCCGCAGCTCGTACGTCCACCCGCCGCCGCCGCCGCCAAGGTCCGGCTCGAATAGCACCGTCCCCGGCCGGTCGTTGGCCGACGCGTGGGCCCTGTAGGCGACGACCCGACCTTCGCGTCCTGCGAGACCGAGCAGGAGGGCGGAGACGAGGCACAGGGTCTCGCAGATGCTCAGCCTCCTCCTCCGCATGGCGACGGGAGACATGGCTTCGCTGGTGCTGCGGGTGAGAGGTTTCTCGCTATACGTGGATAAAAAAACGTACGTTATCGCCATGTTGAATTGAATTGAATTATCTTGAATGGAATTGAATTGAATTGAATTGAATTGAATTGTTGATAGCCTGGCCAGACCCTAGCTCTCTTCGAGATACATACGCGTGTAATAATATATTCAATCTGACTGAACTGAAATTTACCGTTTGATGTGATTGAATGGCGACAGATTTGTGTGGATAACCCGTCAAGATGACTTGATCTTCTAAAGCATCACACGCAGTGAGTGAGTAAGTAACGCGTGTTAGTTTGATCGCTGCGGTTTTCAAACGCTAAACGCGTCCGCAGTCTGTCGTCTGACGCAGGTGTGTTCAGCCGATCGAGATGTACTACTAGTGTTAGATTGTTATTGTCACACACGTTATACAAATGAACTGTAACTATCACTGGCCGCGTGGATCATGATAGAAATTGAGAATAAGCATGGAGCTAACTGGAATAGAGTAGGTAGTTGTTAGTCCGACTGCACGACCAAGTGCCGTCAGGCGTTTCTGCTTGCCGCTGTTTGGCACTATTTGCATGTGTTTATGAATCGGTGCTGCCCTCTAGTATTGATTCTATTACCGACAGATATATCAAGGACAAGGAGCTACATATCGTGTTATATGTAGCTTCTTGATCAAGGATATACACAACGTCGTGTGTTGTGTATATCTATGGATATATATAGACAACAGTTACCCTCCGCAAATTCTTCACCCTTGCATTAGGCTATTTGGTCTCTAGAACAGAACTTTTTTGTATAACCAAAACGCACAAACGGAGTTCATTGGATGCCCTAGTGTTGCCGACGGAAACAGTATTTCGCTGAATTTCTGCAATTTTCATAGAGAGCACGTCGCCAGCAGTGAGCAGTAGGTTTGGGGGTGCACTCGGCTCGGAACTGGGTAGGGAGGGGGGTGCCTCCGGGACCTTCAAAACCTGACCCTGTCGCAAACCGCTTT